GAAGGACAGAATATCATCGCGCTGTCCTGACTGAACAATAACAATGAGGGTGAAAAATCCTTATATTTACCTCCAGCTCCAGTAACCTGACACCTACATGCATTAGCATTTTTTAATTTAACATTTAGTTATCGTGGTTTATTAACCAAGTGTTATTAATTAGCTATTCAAAGGGCAATTCCCTCTTAGAGCTGTCTGTCAGGAAACATATAAAAGAGGTATATAAAATAGGTAGGACCTACATTAAAACATGGTCTATGTCTATCTGATGTCCCCTACTGAGTAGTACATACGAGTTCAACATCTATACTTTAATATCAATGTTTTCCTTAAAATAACTAATATTAAGTTTCACTATTTTTTTTTTTATCTTTGTGATTGTCAAATCCGTTTGAAATCTCAACTGTAATTACACTGGAATCATTTCAATTATTATGTCATCAAGGTGTTTTATGGTTAACATTATCATAACCATTAGAATTCATTTAAGTATCATATAAGTATCCCGGACGAGCCCCCACTTATGTTACGACCCGGCTCCATTGCGGTTTATTTCACACCTCAAACATTTAGTAAACAATTAAGCAAATACAAGTACTCTGCAATAAATTACAGGTAGTAAGAAAATAAACTACTAACTCTTTTACGCTACGTCCACACCTACACGAGTATTTTTGAAAACGCAGCTGTTTCGTCCACATGTAAACGGCATTTCGAATCACCGAAAATGGAGATTTTTTTAAAACTCCTTTTTTTGCGTTTACGTGTGGACGAGGAATACAGAGTTCGTCACGCTGTGCGCTACGTTATTGTTTACATGAGCTGAATTGCAGAATGGCAGATAGTCAGATTAACAGTATTTTGTCTCTATCTTCAGGTTTTACACGCTTACATATACACACGCAGTTACTGACCCTCCATTTACAAAGGCAGAGGCGACACGATGTGATTATTTTACGTGTAGTTGTTTTTTTTCCTGTGTAATAATATTCAACATTGCTATCAATACATTTTTAAAAAAATGCCTCTGTGTGCAAAATAGGTTTAAAAACATAAACAACTGTGGGATACTGTTTGTCTGTGATTTGAACCAGGGGAACAAATCGTGGCAGGATCAGCCTGATATTATTTATATCCCGCTGTAACTTTACTGTATAAAGAGCTAACATCTCCAAAATGTCAGCAGTAGTTAGTCATTATGAGAAGTGTTTGTGAACTAAAAATCACGAATGTGGGATACTGTTTGTCCGTGATTTAAACAGCCCAGCGCTGCTCCTGACGAAGGGAAAAGCAATTCTGCAGGGGAGACCTACCTTGGCACTTGTGCAGGTGAAACCAAAGGGCAGACATGCTTCACCATATTTTCTAGTCTTTGGCTTAGAATGAAGTTGGTTTGGAAACATATTCAGCGATGCTTCATCTCCTGCTTTGCGTTTCTGTAGGCGCCCGTGCTAGCAGTGTCCAAGCATTTTGTTTTTTTCCCCCCTTTTCATCCCGCGTCCCCCCTGCCATGGCTCTGCACCCCCCCTAGGGGGCGGGCCCCACACTTTGGGAAGGTCTGCCATAGAGGAAGGCGGGGCCACCTGAGGCCAGAGGCCGTAACACAGCTATACCGTTTAATAACTTCAAATGTGGCATACTATATAATCAGAACTTTATTATGCAGCACTTTTCCTGGTAAATGTCTTATGTTTATTGACAGGCTTCATCCCACTTTGTATAGTCCACATGTTCTTCAAATAATATTTTCCTCTTTTTCAATCAATCTTACACAAGGACAGCAGAGGAAGAAAGGAAAATTCCATGAATTTTCAGGACTCTGAACCACCATCAGAGTAATTTCAAATCCTAACCCAAGGTAAGAGCCCTCCGTTTGGGCATAGGGACCTGCACAAGGAAGTCAAATAAGATGACATGTAAATGCTGAAGCTGCTACCCTCCACAATACCAGAGGAATTATAAGTATAAGATATGGAAATGAGTTCAGAAACACATAAAAAATATTGTTCACATGGATCTGTCAAACTTCATGAAGGGACAGCAGTATCTAGAGAACAGGGCAGTTATGAACAAGTCTCGTTTCCCAACTTGAACAATGTCCAAAATGTGCGTAGGGGAACATTCGGTTCATTTAAAAAATTATTATGGTGATGAGCGATGTGGGTCAAAGACATTTAAACTGTGTCTGAATACATTACTGCAACTGAAATTATTATTTTAAAGCCATTCATCGGCGCAAAAGCAGGAGAATGAAACGTAACATTGGGGAGGGTGATATTAATTTCCTAGAATGTCCTTTGGTAACCTCCAAAGAGAAGGTACATCAAGTCTTCTGCTTCATATTCAACCGGCAGACATGAAGGTGATATTGATTTTTTTTTTGTCTAATGCTTGCCAATAAAGCAAATCAGCGTATTTCCCCCCAAATAAAACGATGTCTTTAATATTTCATTTATAATTTCTTTTATATCATTACTCTTTGTACTGTAATTCTGAGCCTTATTGACTTACTGATTTTGCAGTTAAACATGAGTCTATGAGACCCAACAACATCTTGTGTTTGGCTGTAAAATAGACATCAGTAAAGGAAAAGCCAAAGGAACACTACAAGTTTAAGTCCACCCGAGGATATGACAATAAATTGCTCCATCTCCCATTTACAGACACTTAAAAGCATTTAATGAGCCTTGAAATCAATAGAGTGTGGTTTAGTGCAGAAATTATACTCTTAAAAATTCAAAGCTAATGGGTCTGCTAGTTTGAATAAGTAAATATTCTTAACACGAAGAATATGAAAGGCTCAGTTTGGGTGGATATGAATATGCAATTTTTATTTCGCTTGTTTTGTCAACGCAGATTTACTTCCTGACTATTATTCTTTGTCTAAGTTTGTGTGGCATTGAGTTAATTTGTATTATTATTCTAAACAAACATGAAATATAACTGTACCTTTGTGATGAAAACTATCCTGTATATAAATCAATACAGTGTTTAGATTTATAGACAGCTTTGTCTGATTGGTCATTCATTGATACTAAATTTTTATCAAAAAAACAAACAAACATACAATTTCAAGCTTTATCAATGCACACTTACAGATAAAAATATCGAATAATGTCACAGATAAAAGTCAGTGACATGAAAGTAGATGTACAGTAGATTTTGTGGGTTATCGTTAGTTTTTTTGTTTTTGGTTAGACTGTTTATTGCATAAACCTTTTGGTTTCTTGTATTTACCCAGCACTGGTGATTTAAAATTATCTGCCCCAAAGACGCACAGGCAATTGCACTTGTAGATGAAAGTCAAATTTAGCGTATTGTAGAAAAGGCCGAATTAACAGTTGTTCTGTTTTTGTTGTTTGACACTTTGACAGAGCCACAACTAGGTTTCACCGTGTATTCTGAGATTACGGTGGGAGAGGAGCTGATGGTGACACTTGGGGCAGCTGGGAAAAACATCCCCTTGTTAGAGCATCACAACGGACTAAAGTGCGGTGTTGTTGCTCAGATGAAAGACATCATGAGCTGTGATTGCTACTTTAAAGACATTCTGAAAACTGAGTGGCATGTGGCTTTAGCTGGCATTGCTGCAGATGACAGTGAATTCAGATGACCAAACAAAGGTAAGAGCTGAAAGTGTCTGCTGATGAGGTGGTGAACCTGACCCAGACACATGGAGTAAGTGGCTTGGTAAGCATGTTGACATTCACACTCTTTCTTGCCTTGACATTACAGTTCTAAATATAGGCCTTCAAATTCCTTGCATGTCTTGGTAAATGAGAAAAAGGGCATCAGTGCAAAGTTAATGTTTGTATTGCTGAATGACCTGATTAAGTACATACATATATATCAGATTTTCAGAAAACTTGATCTCTGGCCTTGACCTTGAGGTCGGGATCACTGAAATTTTTACTCATTTAAGATGTTTGGCAGATGCACCTGTGCTATGAATTTCAGCATCCTACATAACCTTGTTCTCAAGTTATCACATTCACAAACTTGGGTGTCCACACTGCCCACCCGCCACCCCTGCAGGATGCCCATCAGCCTTTCACAGCTGAGGGGGTAAAAAAGCATTAGTGACTAGACTCTGTAAAAATGAGTAGGATTTAGACACAGTCACAGGCACTTGCTCAGACAGTTACGCTAAGTATCAGGCTTCACTTTTATACCACACGCAGCCACAAGCTAATGACTAATAGCACCAAACCAACCCATTCAATTTCACTGTATTAATTACATCAGCCCTGCTCAAAATAACAGCATAAGCAAAACGTTTTGATTCAAATTATGTTTTGATCTTTTTCTATCCAATAACACTCTGATGCCCTCCTTCATCTTCACCAGACTATCATCAGAGAGACAGCCACTGCAGTGATAATTAATTGACAAACCACCAGCCTGATGGGTATAATAGGCATCTGGGAAAAATCAATATTAGAGCGCAATCCTCGCGTGCATCGTACCGTCTTTCATCCTCAAGTGGTGACAGAGCATTACCTCCACTCAAATTTAGCCTGCTTGTTCTGTCTAGCAACTGTATTTAAAAAAAGGACAAGTGATGCCTTCATGGGTCTCAGGAGAGAATGTGAGGGCTGAGAAAGACTGTCACAACTGAAGTGCGTGTTTACAGATCAGCCTCCAGTATTCTCTTTAGATAAGGGTATTCACTGGCCAATCAATGTGGCGATTATATCATCGGTACCTTCCACTTCATTAAACAACGGTGTGAGCTGAAGACGCATCCTATACAGAGACACACAGGATGTTATATCAGTATACAGCCTTTCTCTTCGTTAGTCTGTCCTTGAATGTTTTACTGTCAGCCATGCTAACACCCTGCTCTCCACAAGGAGAATGCACTGAACAAATATTTACCCTGATAAACACAGGCAGCTCATTAGACATGTCACTTCAAAGGAGCATGGGAAAAATTACTCAGCACAGTCTCTTGTGACAGAGATGTGAAGGTGCTCAAGAGCGGTATGTGTGTGTGTTACCTGTTACAGTCAACGTGCAGAAGCAGGTGGGAGGCACTGATGGTAAGGGCGATCTTGTGCCACTGGCCATCAGCGAGGCGGTAGGGGAAGGATTCAGAACGTGGCTTGCCTTTGAAGCGGTAGTGATAGCGGATCTCCTCTCTCACCCCGCTGCTTTCCAGCTCGAAGTAGCTGCAGGGGGAGAAGTCACAGGTCACAGATGCTCAGTTTCCTGAACAAAGGAAGGGGAAACTCAAAGAAAACACATTATGTGTACGAGGTTTTATCCAAAAGCAGGTTGGAAGATTTTTAAACCCCCACGGACTGCCATTTGGCTTTTTCTACCTTTAAAACCCGGAGAGCAGCCAAATGGCTTTTAGCTAGGCTTTAGCTTCAGCCAAGTGGAAGCTAAATTGGCTAGTCATTCATATGTAAATTGGGTCGTTATCTGGGAATTCTGGAGGGAGGGGAGTGGGGGTGTGTGATTGAGGGCGTGGGGGAGCTGCTAAAAGCTGTGCACTTCCTTTTGTGTTTCATCTTGATGCATTCTCAATCGTCCAGGGAAATAAATCTCCAAAAGTCACCAACTTGGAGTGTTTCAGTTTGCCATCTTAGGGAGAAATCAACACACATGGGTGTATGTCCTTTGTTGCTGAGATTTATTGATAAAAACAGTACAAAAAACCAACCATTTGTACACATATTTACAAATAATAATAAAAAGTGAGTGAGTACAATTCAACATTTTCAGCAATCACTCACAATCCTGGCACTGCCATGGTATCTGTAGTCTGCATTTACCACATGTGTATCTTTTGCAGTGAACACATCGCACAGTGGCATGATTGTTCTTGCAGTTGTGTTTGACCTGACACGTGGCTCTTTTTCCAGGGCTCGGTGTGGAGGGTTGTGTCCGAAGCAACTGTTCTTTTCTTGCCTTCTTCCCAGCTACATGAGAGCGAGCCAACTCTGTTGCAAGCGCCACCAGGAAGTCCACCCGTCTTTCCTTCGTCCCGGTGCATGCTTGATACAGCACATGTGCATTCAGTGCTGCCATGTCAATCATGTTATAAAACACGGCGACTGGCCAGCGCCGTGTTCCTTTGCGGACAGTGTACTCCCGAACCATCTGGTCCATCACATCCATGCCACACTTTGTTTTGTTGTAAAGGGAGACAGTGTTTGGCTTCCTTTTGGTGGTGTTATCAGTCTGAACCACGCTGTGCATGCTGCTAAGAACATAGACTGTCTTCTTCCGTTTGGCCGCATACGCCGTCAGCGTGGCAGCAGAGGTTGAAAACACCTAAGAAATAAGATAAATTGTTATTTCCATAGCCCTTTTACACACAATGAAACACATAAACATAGAACCACAAAAGACCTGTAACATACCTGAGTGGTGAATTCATTGCGATCTGTCTGTCTAGTGGATTGAGGAATTTCCCTGCGAATCCTGTTGACTGTGCCGAGGATGGTGGTTTTCCGTCTAAGAAGTTTTTGTGCAAGTGAAAGCGATGTGAAGAAATTGTCCGTGGTAACATTTCTGCCCTTGTCTAGGAATGGTTCCATCAGCCTCATTACTACATTTTCAGAAAGTCTCTCCCCAGTGGGACGATTGGGGTCCTTGCCAAGATATGGGAAGACATTGCAAATGTACTTGGATTTTAGGTCGCAAGCCACCCAAAACTTGATCCCAAACTTGTCAGGTTTACTTGCAATATACTGCAGGAAACAGCACCGAGTCTTTGATGGGAAAAGCTGTTCATCAACGGTGATATGTAGACCAGGGTTGTAGCACGTGATGCAGTTGGTGACAAATGATCCCCACACACTGGAAATTGCAGCAAACTTGTCAGTCTTTGCTCGATCACAGCGGGTGGACTTGTCATCAAAGCGTAGGTGTTGCATGATGTTTTGGAAGCGGTTTCGTGCCATAGTTCCAATTATCTGTGGGTTTCCCAGGTTTGCTGACCAGCAGTCATTTACAGATGGAACCCTGTAAACCCCCCGCAAGATCACAATTGCAATAAGGATGAAAATGATAAGAATGATATTTCCTTTTTGGTTTTGGAGAAAGTGTTACGATAAGACTTGAGAATACATAGCAACAGAAAAGGTAGATGGAGAGTGGCTCCAATGCAAATATGGCTGGATCACTATCTATTCCAGGGAAATGAGTATGCGACCCAAATATGGCTCTATCAGGCACCAGAACACAGGTGTCTGTGTCTTCCTATCTGAAAGTCTCAGAACTTTCTGAACTGTAGAGAAGGAAATTTATCCATCACCCTGCTCAGTACATAGCAACTCACAACTCACAGCAAAAATACCCCCAAGTGAGTAATTGTGCACTGTAAAAGTCTCAGTTTTCTCTTGCCCAGACCATAACACATACCCAGGGTTTAAAACTAAAACTGGGTCAGCAACAAATTCTAAATTTTGGTGTTTCCGAAATGGCAGAGGAGAGTGGACCTTGGGCTGAAATGCGGCTGAAAGATGAACAGATTGCTCAGTGTAACATTAAAGCACAAAGTTCATCTAACAAACAAAGATTGGGGGGGGGGGGCTTTCTCTCTCAGTTTTACCTACTACCCTCACTTTACAGTGTGACTGCAGGCATTTAACTTTAGCTCTTCCCTGCACCATGTGTGCTCTACTCTCCACCCTCATCAGGCACGCTAAATTAAGAGCCAACCAGGCACAAACAGCAGCAGCAGCCCAAGAGCCGCAGGCAACAAGTCGTGACATTTCAGCTTCCCTGCGGCTGAAAGTGACCCCAGCTCTGGAACCTCTGGCCTTAAGCACACATACACATTCACACACAGAAAGTACACCACATCTGGCAAACACAGCTCTCTAATATATAACCAAACATAGCCCAGAATGTCACCTATCCCAATATATTCAGAAGCAAAAAAACCAACCCAAAAAACACAGACTCACACAGGGATCAAGCCAATTCAATACCAAAGCTCGACAGCTCTCATGCATATTTATGAAAAGGGAGAGTGGACCTACTCCACAGAATATCAATCGGAATTATAGGACAGGAAGAGCTCAGAAGAACTTGACAAAAAAAAGAAAAAGTGTGCACACATACTGTAACTATGTAGGTGCAGTGGGTCAAAGTTGAACTGAGAAGTCAATCTATAAACTGAAGAACGCTTAAAAGATTACACTCCTGTATAGCTTTAAGGAAGACTGACGCTGCCACCCACATGCAAAGGAGCTTCATGAATGTGTTTTTCTTTTAATGATGTCATTTTGAATCCAAATGACATGCATTTATTTGGTATTAACCAAGGCTACATTATCATATCATAAACAAAGTTATGAGAGTTTACACAGGGTTTCAGATTGGCTGTTGCGTGAGTATTGTAATTAAGTCATGAATTGTTTGGCATCAAAAACCCTAATCTTTCTCCCAACACCAACCAAAACCTCAGGTTAATGAAAATGGACTGGCTCTTATATAGTGCTTTTCTGCTATACAACCTGTCTCATTCACCAGTGCATTTATATAAGCACGTTTTTCTATGTCTGAGTGCTACCTAACATTTACACACCTTCACACTCTGTTGAATGCATCGGCAGCAACTTTGGGTTCAGTATCTTGCCAAAGGACAACTCAGACCTGCCAAAGATCAAACCAACAATCTTTTATTAACCTGCTTCACCTCCTGAGCCGAAGCCACCCTATAATGTTAGGTTGTAATAACAAATGCATCTCAATAAATGTACAAATAAATGAACTAAGTCACTGAAACTTAGCAAGCAGGTCTGGCCCAGATCTGGTATCAAGCCGGCACTGCTGGTTGATTTCTGGTATGATAAGACGTATGTCATTCAGATATGGGCCAGGCCTGGGATAGATGGCACTGTCTACGTGATGGCATGCAATATCTGGCTCGATTGTGGTCTGGTTTATGTGGCCCAGGCCCATAGAAAACAGGTCTGGCCCGGATCTGGCATCAAGCTGGCACTTCTGACTGACCGGTATCATGGCAGAGTGTATGTCAACCAGATGTGGGCTAGGTCTGGCAATGATGGCACTATTTGTGTTCCTATTTTTCTATTTTAGTTAGATGACCCAAATGCCATTTGCAATACTATACTGCTATAGTAGCCAACGTTTCAAATGCAGGTTTGACAGGTTTGTGAGTGTACACTTTAACCAAAACCTAGTGACGGTTTACTCCTCTTTGCTGGTGGGCGGCTGTAGCTCAGGCGGTAGAGCAGGTCACCTACTGATCGGAAGGTTGGAGGTTCAATCCCTGGCTTCTCTTGCATGTCAAGAGTGTGAATGTAGTCAGGAAGCACTCAGTTTAGAGAAAGTGTGTGATTGGGAGAATATGGCATGTTGTATAGAGCTCTGAGTAATAAGGGGGAAAGGAAGTGCGCTATAAAATAATCAGTCCATTCACTATCCGAACAGCGTTCTGTCATCTTACTTTTGCACTATTATGTTCCGGCACATGTTGCTATTACATGGCTTGATTAAGGTACACATTAAGCTGACATCTAGGGCCAGCACAGGGCCAGCAGTGTGCTTGAAACTGGTCCGTGGCTGCACACAACTTACACATGGCCCACATACCGCAAAGAATGATGCCCTTTTGGTTCAAATTATTTAAATGTCTTATCTTAGAAGTTCCAAACAAATAGAGTACCTTTGTTAAGTTGAATGAAACATTTGAACTGCTGCAACAAAACAAGAAGACAAAGGAAAGGAGATGGTGATGATCAGTACATGCTATCTTAGGGTTCAGCTCAAACCTCTTCCACACTGCTAATGATGGCCCATCAACCCCCCACACAGCAGGCTGAGTTAGTGCTAAAACAATTATCATGCAGTAATTTAACAGGCATCATGAGGAAATGTTTTTCTACAACATTAAATTGCATTTCCACACTTCAAGTAGAGACGGCTTCATTACAAACATGTGTGCATGTTTAAGAGAAAGGGTAGGGTGCGACTGGAAGGTTGACTTTGTACAGCGTGTCACCTTTTGTGGAATTAAATGAATACATCACTCTAGGCCTACGACGGGCACCAGCCTGACAGCCCGACTCCATCATGCTGCAGGACACGGAGCCACTGATACTTGTCAGCTGGAGAAGAATCATTTGCATTGAACGAGGAGCAAAAAGAGAATGAGAGTGCTCCAGCTTCGCCTCTTTCACTGATGGAA